TTTTAGAATAATAGGGTATTAATAAAAAGTTGGTGAATATTAATTTTATGAAGTTATTGGATAAAAAGAAAGAAATATTTAAATTAAAGTTAAATGATAATCGATTGGACGAAATTAATAACTTAATTAATAAGTTTTGAATGCCATAAATTGAACTTTATTATGTAGTGGAGTATTGAAGTAGAATTGATATAAAATTTAATGCTCTAACTACAAATAAAATATAATTTATGAGAAATAAACTTACTTTATCCAGCCTTCTATTTCTAAACTTATAAACTTACTTCATTAAACAAATGAAAGTCTATGCAAACTTCAGGTCTATCAAAATTTGTGTCACACTTAGCACGAATTTAATAAGACTCTAGTCAATCACCCCAAAGTTTGGTAAACAACAGATTGTAATGTTACAATACACAATAGAGTTTTGTGATAGAAATCTGTGCTAGACCAATCATCTTCAAAGCCATCTTTACAAGCAGAAAGGTCAACATTTTGTAATTAATTGCATTCACTGAACATTAATGATGACTTTTATCTTATTGAAACATTATTACTTGCTATTACTCCCTAACTAATCCTTTTTGTCCTTTGATCTTGATATTCCCTGATCTTACTAATTTTCATTTGATACTTCATTAATGGGATTTAGGGCACTTGAGGATAATTGAAGCTGGTTTTGCTTCACGCATGTCACTGGTGGATTTCATAACAAGACTCTCCTGTAAACCTTACAAACTACAATCTTGTTTCAGTTGATAAATTTTTGATCAAATTATGTTTGATTCGATTTCTTACAATTACTGCTTCGAGTAGAAGAAGCTATTTCTATTTTTGAATAATAGTTTCTTATTGCTTTCAACTTTGTAATTATATAACAGACAATCAAATCAATTGGATAATGGATGGTTAAGGATGATCAATACTTACAATTAGAGACAATCCATTTGGTCATGCAATTAATTTTTGGAACGATCATAAATATGATATTTATTTATTTGTTCGACATTTACATTGTTTTTTGGTTTTATTTTTATTATAAAATATAATAAAATAATTCAACAATTATTATAATTTAAAATAAGATTAATTTAGATCATGATCTATAAAATTCCAACGACTTTTATAGGTATCTTATTTTACTCTGCACTGAGTAATTCATATTGTTCTAATCCCTACTACCAAACGGAAATATAGGAGGATAATTAAATTGTTCATCTGATAATAGCATTAATGGAAATATTGTAAAATTAAATAATTATATTTAAAAAATTTTCATTGATCAATTGATCAGTTGATACGAGAGAAATCAATGTTGAATAAATATAATTGCTTTAATTTTAACATTTATTTCCAGGCCAGTGTAGGTACATCAAATATTCAATGATTTTGAATTTGATACTTAAACATGGATTGTTAAAAGCCCTTTATTTTACTCTATCATACATGAAATAGTTGTTGAAATACACTTTATTCGAAGTATTTAGCAATTTATTATTTTTTGTAAAATAAATCCATTTTTATCGAAAGCATTTAATATACAATTCTCGTGATAGATAACTGTAGCAAACAAAAGTTAATTTTATTGTATACTTGTTGTAAATCTAATTAACGCATCAAAAGTGTGAAAAGTTATCACTGAATTTTTAATATTCAATACTAAATTTATATTTTTCTAAACCCTGTCAATAGCATTCATTTTAAAAAGCATTCTCAAAGATCACTTGATGTAAACTTAAAATCTTTTTTGTTTCATCATAAAAATAATAATTGAATTTATGTTCCATTTCTGCCACAATTTCCATTTGATATTTTTTCAGTTACATTCCAAGAAATTTAATTAATCCCACTTTAATCACAGTCTGTGTTTTGCCAGAGAAAAGGGTTTTATTGTTTCCTGTATAGAACAATAAATAAAAGAAAATTGACACTGAGCAAAAAAGCTTCAATAGAAAAAAAAAGATCAAACGAAAAAAAACAAAGATGTTTTTTACGAAGAGAATTGAACTGCTGTTCAAGGGCCAAACTCTGTTTCGAGATTTTAGTGTAGAAAAGATTGACGTTTCAGTGATTTTTCATTTTCTATTGCACTTATTTTCATGTCTTTTGTTTTAGTGTATTAGATGATATTTAATAAAAATAATTGCAAATATTATTTCAAATTATTTAAATAATATTTATTTAGAAGATTAATAGATATTGAAAATTAAATTCATATAAATTTCAAATAACTTGTTCACCAACTCAAGCGTTGTATGGTCTAGTTTCAGGCTTTCGTATATAGAATTGATGTTGAAGCTGCTACCACTAGAGCAGAATAGTTTCCACAAGAGGTTCATACATCATCTCTGATAGTTAAGATAAATCATATGTGTGCAAGGATGCAGTTAAGATTAGATCGACGCGCCTGTTGCGTTATTCTTGTGCTTCACTTATAAAGTTTCCGATCACCTTTAACTTTTGCTGACCACCATGCTATTTTTCTGAATTTATATCAATCACTTCCTTTACACGTAATCTCATTCACATTTGTACTTTTGCTATTCATCATCAAGGTACAAAATAAATGATTAATACTATCACTTTTAAAAGATCTTATAAATTTTTTTTTTAATCAAATAAAATAGTTTTTATAAACATTGGAATATTGGTCCAGTCAGTGATAGAAAAGGCTTTGAAAGATAGTGTATGATAAGTTGAAAATGTAGGATAAAATATGGTGAAAATGTTCTTTATCTATATTCAGGTAGCTTTTAAAAATGTTCAAACATAGATTATTCAAATAAAAAATAAAATGGGGTGTGATTTGAAAAATAGAAAATATTTATCATAAAATCTAAATACTGCAGAATTCAACCCTCAAATATTTACATTCCTCTGACGTTTATTCTGGGTCAAATAAAGAGTTCGTTTTTGTATTCACCTGTTTGAATAATCTCAGTGAAAAATAAATTATTTTCTGGATTAATAATTGTAGTTGTTATATTGATAGACCATTATTAAATTTATCCCATAATAGCCTAAGTAAAGTATTAATAATACCTTGGACAAAGTAGTTAAACTAGTATTCTTATATCAAATTTTAAACGTCAATTTAAATTATCAAATTGAAAGCAGTTACTTGCTAGTATTATCCTGTGGCAATACAGAATATCACTAAAAATTGAGAACGAAGCACTTCAGAACAGAAATTTTAAATTGTAAACTTTTTTAGATCTCCAATACAGCTTTTTAGGTAAATTGATATTAAATTATTCGATTCTCGTTGTAACGGATGCTTTCTAAAAATTCTCACTAGTACAAATTATTAGTAAGAAATGACGACATCAAATTAGAGAAAAAAATCCATCTATCCATTTGATTAATCTATTTTAGTTATTATTAATTGAAATATCTTTAAATGAATAATTTTAACACATACAGACAAAAATAATCTTCAATCACGACAAAGTGAACATCTATTATTCGTAATAATTAATTTATTTCGTTCATTATTAGCTCAGAGTTTCATGTAAGCTGTAATTGATGAATTAATTGAAGTTGAGAAAGTATTTGAGTGATCGATTAAGTGAAAAGTGAAGTAAAACAGCAGGATGAAGTAAAATCTAACATCAAAAAACTTTTTTAATGATTTTATAGAACATATCATGAACTAGCGTGATATGATCAGCTAATTGAAAAAAATATACCCACATTAATAACATGATTTTCAAAATGAATGACATGTAGGTAAATTACCTATTATGCTCCATTGTCATTTATAACGTAGTCTATCCGGGTCATTATATTAAGATTAATTATCCTTTTGATTGATAGATTTGATTCAATCAGATTTAGGTAATTATTCATACACATCAAATTATTACACTTTGATTTTATTACTTTTTTCTTATTGAACTTAGGTATGATCACAGCATCATAAGAACTTAATAAATATTTTTTTTAGATTTAGTATTAAATTAACTGTTCTGATATACCAGTCACTTGATGGCTGTATTTTTAAAGTTTGATGCAAACAGAATAGTATTATAAATTTCAAGCCTTTGTCTATCTGCTAGTATCATCAAAGCTTCCAAACATATGAGCCCATTCCAGTGCAGTTTTTTTTTTCATTTCAAAGCTGGTTTAATTGACATTGTTTTTAACATTGTTTGATCAAAATTACTTCAGTTATTTGGAGATCATCAGCTTATAATACAAATGGTGTAGGAATTTTCATCAACAACATCCAAGTAAACACCTTCAATTATTCTCTACTGAATTGACTAATGTCATTAACAATATTATATTTATTTCTTTCAGTTACTTGAAAAATATTCGTCATCTTTATTGATATAAATAAATTTTCATAGATAAAAAACAGCCTTGCATGTAAAGCTCATTTAATCGGATTGGACGGATGTTCAGTCTGATGAGAATTTCCTGCCTTTTGATATTTAACAGTATTTGATTTTGGTGGTTTACGGTTGGAGATAAACGTCTATAGAGTGTTATAGTTGCACAGTCTTTGATTCCATTTCCCATTGGTACATATGTATATTTATCCTTGATTTTTCAAACTTAGAAAATTAATTAATATTTTTCACATTACCCTAGAGTATTGAATGAAATAAAAAATAATTTGTATAAAATATTCTTGTGAATATTATTTTTCATTTATAATTTATGTATCCTTATTTTTCATGTTATGTTTTTACTAACTCTGACAAAAGTTTTGATGAAAGAGTATCTTATATGATTTTGGAATTATGATATATAATTATATTTATGTCATAAAATACTGTGAAAATATGAAGACAAAGTATTTATAAATAAATTTAATAATGTGAAATTATTATTAAAAATCATAATGAAACTTGTGGTAGTTGTTGAAATAGGATGAAACAATAATTATAGTTGACAATAACTAATCAAAATGACAAGTGAGACTTAATTTATAGGAAGATGTTATTTATTGATTTAATAATATGTGCATTGCTTGATTGATTATTTTTTTCAAGGGTGTTCTACAAACATTAAAACTATACTCCGGATTACCACCAGACCTTGTTAGATGTTCTGACATGGAGGTAAGTAAGTTGAGTTCAGTCCAACGAGCTCAAGAATTTCATTTGAATTTCAAACAGTCTATTGACTGAAGTTTGTGTTAGTCAATAATATTTAATGATGCTCAATACGAGTTCAATTGTTCAAAATTTCAAACTATCTTCATATTTTGGTTTGAAGTATTTTAAATTATGTTCAAAATATTCCTATTTTACTAAATGAAGATCTAAATTTGATAGGAAAAATTCATTACATTTTTTTGGTTTGTTTTCTGTGGTAAAGTCTTTGAAAGATTTAATTATAAATCGTTATTTGTATGAAAAGCAGATTATTTGAATATTTAAGAATGTATTCCTTGAGAGAAAATTTCATGGAACTGATTGACAAACTTTAGTTGAGAACTGGTTCAAAAAAATTTCATTAACGTTTCTTATCTTAAATATTTAAGTTAAGAAGTTCAACGTCTTGTGGAAATTTTAAGTTTAGTCCAACATGAAGGTTCTTCATATCTGATGTTATTTATACCTATTAAATTTCATGGAACTCACTGATTACGTGTTACATTAAGTATGAACTTGTAATTAGCTTAAGAACTACTTAAGTTCATTCATAAAAAGTAATATTTTATTTAATAAAAATAAGGTTCAACTGATTCATAATCTTCAAAGGAAAAACTTGGTAATTTAAAAATATTCTTACCAAAAAATTAGAATAGAAATTTCTATTCTAATTTTATTAAGCTTAAGCTTTTCAAGAACTTATTTTCTTTTAAGATAGAATCATCTTTAATATTAAATACAACGTCTTTAAATAATCATTTCCTGGTGATAAGACATTTCTAAAAAAAATCACTTTATCACTACTTTTCACCAAAGAAAAAAGTTTGGGATAAAAATTCTGTTGGACTACTCATGAATCTTGATCTATTTAATTATTTCCTCCATTTAGAAAAAGGAATTCCTTCCTATCGTCGTTTCCTTATGGAAAACAGATGAGACTAAAAATATAATTAAATTGGAAATATTTTTATCGACTTGTTCTTACCAACCAGTAGCTTCATTTGATAAATACAATCACTAACCAATAATTGACTGTTACATAACTTTTATATTGACCTGAAGTTTCAGGATCTGCTTCAATACCACAGGCACTAGATTATTATCTATTTATTCCATCATATTTTTTAAAAACACTTCTTCTATACTAGAAACAAATTTACTTTTCACAAATTAAATTATATTTAAAATGTTATTCACTAATTTATTAAAGTATAACTGGTATTTCTGCACTAAAAAAAAATATTCATCACTTATTGATGATTGTTCCAGGTGTAAAGTTTCTATAAGTTAAAGAAAGAAATTTAATTTTTTACTATGCACAGATTTAAAAAATAATTCCAGAATATTTATATCATCATGTTATTTTAATGTCTCTGTTGTAATTCACAAAGGAATTGCAACTGGCCATTGCCCTAAGGCATTTAGCCAAGTGGAATATTTACTTTTTTTCTATTTTAAAACAACACATAAATTTTTATTATCATTTGCTTTTCAAGTTTTATTAAGATTCAAGTTGAGCTGTATTTCAGATCACCATTTTCTGTTAGTAACTATTCGATATATTTATTATATCACATCTAAACTGAATGAGATTTTCGATCATGGTGGAGATAAAATATCAATTAATGCTTGTAAGATTTACGAAGCAATTTAAGATAATCATCGTCTTTTATATTTTCTTCTTTTTCTAACTATTTCTTATGATCTGATATTCTCACATTAATTAATTCAATCTCTTAATTTCGTAATAACCAGAGAATGTAGCCAGACATTAAATTCAATTCGTTTCAATTTTCTTTCCTCAATAATAAAATATAGGTATAGATATATACGTTAGTATCATCTCCACTTGCGAATGGACGTTAAATCGAGATTTATGAGCCAGGATTATGCCCACAAGGCTGTTTTGCACAGCTATTTTATATTTAATATTCTCTTGAGTTTACCACAGTGACCCAAGGTGCTTATCATCCTAATGATTTCTTTCCTATTATCTAGATATTCATGGTAAAATTGATAACTAAATATATGCTTTTATTCTTGATTAGTTAAACTTTAAATGTTTACCATCCCAAACAACAATACTTGGATATTTTTATGAAAATTCAATAACAAGGGAAAGTTTTAGCATAGAATGGAATAGAATTTCGTGCTGATTTCTCTGAACTTCATAACAAGGAGTTAATCACGCGATGCAATTCTAAAGTTTGTTTAGTCTGACTCCCAATTAGTACGAGACATCTCTGAATATACTTTACGCTTTCAGTGACGTATAATCATTAAATACGATAAATATGTTCAGAAAAGTGTGCTAAATACAGTATATTTCAATAATAATCATCATCATACTTGGTAACAATTTAATAAAATGTTTTATATTATTAACAATGAAAAGTTATTAATGGATTAAATAAAGAATTATATTGAAGTTATTATGAAAGATCGATTATTCATGAATATTTTATATGCATTGTTCATGAGTGTATAGAAAAATATCCATTATAAATAAGTGATACTAAATTTGTATTTAATTGTTTTCAATTTTTTTTTTTAATGGACTACTTCATTTTATTTTATTTCAATCAATTAAATGAACTCAACATATGCAAATTGATAAATAATTTTCCATGTTGAGAATTTACAGCACTGTCTATAGAAGAATTAGTAGACGAGTTATCTGACCAATGATTGGTCTACCACAAACTTTGGAGCAAGGTTAGAACAAAACAACTGTCATATAACTGCTAATTATTAGTTGATGAGTAGTCTTTAGAGAAGTGATTATAAGCTCCTAAAAAGTTATAATATAATAAGGATCTTATCGTAAACCAAACTAGTTGATTAATCATGAAATTTAGAAAAGGTTTGGTGAAGTAATCATTGGTCCATGAATCATCTGTTTATTCTTATACAGGGAATTATGTTAGAAATAAAATTACTTGGAACAAAAACATTAATTTATTTATTGAGAAGTAAGTGTAATTCAATTTGAGAATAATAATCTTTTGATACATTTAATAAATATATTATTATTTCTTGTATTTTAACTGTGATGTCACAAATTATTAAATGACATCATTAAAAAGACATGATATTTAAAATAATAAATGAATTATTCTTTAATTTAAATAATGAGATAATGAATATGATTACTTATGAATTAATAAAATAATTCAAAGCCAATTGGAAATTTTATCAAATAAATAATTCAAAATCTAATTTAAATAATACAAAAATTAATTGAGATTTTATTTGTACAGATATATACTTTAAGAATGAATATTTGAGACTTAGTTTTAATATTTTAACTCAAGATAATAATTTTTAAAATAAATAGATAAAGTAATACAGTAATTGTTTTTTATAATTAATTGTTCCAAGTAATTTTTTTTATTTATACAAATAAAGATAATGTTCAATTTCTCTCAATTTAGTGTATTTCTTAAAAACCAAATATTTGTAGCACATCAGTACACAAACAAAACGATTTTCATCAAATCATATGAACTGTAAATATTTAAAAATACTCAAAATATATCATAAGTAACTCCATTAAAAAAAGTTATTAATATTAAAAAAGTATTTGTAAAAGCGAATGAAATGGAAAAAAAAATATATACTTCAAAGAGGAAGCAAAGCGAAAATTTCCAACCACAGTATAAAAGACTCGTTTCTGGAGGTTCAAGCTGATTGCTATCTAGTTCGGTATTGCAAGCGTGAAAATTGAACGGTTCGGCAGACAACGGAGATAGCAATGAGACGGCAGGCTAAGATGATGAGATGCGAAAAGAGTAAAAAGGAAGAAAAAATCACGTTCTATTAGGATCTAAAAGAACAAGTTAGGTTTTACACCATCAATACTATTGGAAACAGAACGAGAGGCAATTAGACTTTGTATTTTACAAAATAACATTTATAAACCGCCACCCATCAAATTATAATGATATTGCAGATAAAAGGAAATGAGACTTTCTCAGACTTACGATAAATATTGAGACGATAATGGGGTCAGGAGAGAAAATAATAGAGATATTCTCTGATCTTCTACAGCTATATAATTTATAAAAGTATCGATAAATTCGATAAGCTTCACTTCTTCGATAAGTTATTATGTCTATTTTCGATAAAAAAGAACAAAAGTTTATCTAATTTTATAAACAACTTTAGTCGAGTTTTAATAAATGACATAAATCATTTTTAATTAATTAGTTTTTAAGTTTTCTAGAGCACTCTTTAGTTGCAAAGATATTAAATTGGTCTACATAGTAATTTTTTAGAGTTCATTATAATTAATTTAATTAAATTAGCTTTTTAGCGCGGAAACTTGAGATTTGGAAATAGCAAAACTTTTTTTTCTATATTAAATTCATTTAATTTTGATTTGATCTTTCAATCGCATTGAACTTGTTTTCAACTTCTTTCAATTATATCTATTCTCATTACTCTAAATTTACCAATTTATTATTTAGTTATCATATTTTAAGTGTTAATTTTTCATTTTTAATCTCCATGACTGTACTTAATTATTTAAGATCCTCTAGTAATTAATTAATTCTTGCATAATAAACTCTAGATTAATAAGTCCATTTGGAATCCTTTAAAAAATTTATATAATAAAAATTGTAAAAAAAACTAGAATTATCTGAAGCATGAATACATGAAAGTGTTAATCAGTTTTGAAAAATAATAAGATATTGAAAAAGTTATCGAAATAATTAAGTTTTGATTATAAAAAGCCACATGACCTTTTTTTTATCATGCACACTAGAATCTATTGACTAGATAAAAATAGTAATATAAGTAAACAGGTAATTTACATTTATATTATATTTATTTTCACTTTAGCTCTTTCCAGAACACTCAGGATCAAGTACTTACGACCCGCTGGAGGGGTCTGGATCTATAGACATTTTTGATAAGGTAGTGATGACTATTTTTAAAGTGTTATCACTAAAATACATATTGGCTTACTGCTTTTAATAATCAACTCTATGTAACTAACATCATCATCAAAATTAACTATCATTCACATGTAACTTTTCACTTATCATCAAATAATGAATTTAATATACCCACCAGGAACCTTTGATATAATGACTATTTTCAAGAACGTCATCATGTTTCTTGATTGCACTCATGATAAAAAATTCATAATGATGATTGTAAGAATTTATTACTTTAACATTGAATCAATTATTATTGTAATCAAGTTGATAAAGATTTATGATAATGAATGCAAAGTTTTCGATTAGAAAAATAATAGATCATCTGAAGAAGTAGATGAATATTGTGTGAAAAGAGCTTACATTTAAACCAGAAGAACCTTCTGGAGAAGACAGGCGGTCGACCACTTCCTTCAATATATACATATATACTTCCTTTCAACTTGACTCTCTAAACTTTGCCTTAACGGAGAAGCAACGTCTAATTATCGGTTTACTTGTTCAAGTATATCAACAGTGATGCAGTAAAAGCTAATTTTCAAGTATTTTCCACTTACATCTCCTTTCAAGATTATATTCAAGTTAGCTAGCTCAGAAAGTAGATTAAGACAAAGAAGATATTTTTAAGAATAACAACGAAATGTAGTCAAAACAATCAACACAAAGAGAACTATTAAATGGGATAAAGTGGAGTACGTATTTACAATGACTGTCAAACAATTGGACTTTCGTGTTGAATAGAGTGTAATGTGAATACCCAAGTTCAATAACAATTATTACTCCTTTTTATAATTTATTTTAAATTTAATACAAGGATACTCCATTTAAACTGTTATGAGTTTGATGTTTTAGACTTTCTATTATTCTTCATCACTGAGCAATTTATTATTTAATCAAACATCTCCAATGTCTGTTAAAAAGGCTCAAATAATAAATTCACAGAAAAATAGTCATTAGTGACTTTATACGTAAAGTTTAATGGCATTGATTTCATGCTTGTTCAGCTTTGCTCTATGAACTTTATGGTTTCTAGCTTATTGGTAAACCAGAAATGAACAACCATTAGGTTGGTTCAATGTAATAATACATTGCTTATGAAATCAAGTAACAAGAGTTTTTATGAGCTCTTTTGAGTCAGGTTGACCAAACTTTGACTTATATTAAATTGGGTTTTAACATGGGTACAGAGTTTCTTTCAATGGTTTTAATGAGGACCATAGACTCTAGCATGATCATAGACGTGTCGTTTGCTGACAGTATCACGAGCTGGATAACATTTAGGTAAAAGCATTAAAGCTATGATTGAAAAGTTGGGTAAAAGAAATTTTTATGAGTCTATTTGAGAGTCTTTTCTCTAGGCTAATCTAAATGATTCTTTAACGTTAGATTTTATCATCATAGCAATAGCATTGGATCCTATCATAGCTGCATTCACTTATTTTTGCTTAGAATTTATGAACAGGGTAGATTGCACCTGGCTCAAACTGGTTCATAAAAATTTTCTTTACCTATCTTGGTAATGATAATTTTATTACTTTAATCCAATGGTTGCCCATGCTACGTTCAAAACTACCTCGTTTACAGCAAAGGTGGGCAACCTTTCCCTAGTTTGCTCATGAAATAGATGATGAGCACGCTAGCTAGAACTAGGTAACAAAGTTGTTTTAAAAAAATTACAAGTTGTCTACCTGATTGTTTATAATCTTGCTGTTGTTGAGATGTATCATTGATATGCATTATTCAATGTCTTCACCAAGAGCCAATAAAACTGGTATCAACATTTGAACAAATTAAAATAAATAAATGTTGATTGAAGAAGTGATGAAGGAATGTAAAAAACCAGAATATTGCACAATTAAAACAAATTGTTGAACTGTCACGTTAACCTCATCAAGTTCCTAGCAATCACACCTATAGACAATGTAACAATCGCCGTGGAAGGTGAGAGAAAGCAATCGGGCTACTGGTTGAACAACCAGCTGCGACATTCTCCACTGACGGTTTATATTAGTCGAGGCATCGAATCGACATTCGAAATTGCTGGTGTTTAGACTCTCAACACGCTGAATACTCGTGACGTTTGCGATTATCGAATTTGGAAACGCTGATAGTTGGAGGTGAATGATTGAATACAAATATATAGGTCTTACCGACAATTAACAGAGAACAATTCGTTAAAGCTTTTCATGAAAGGTTCATTACCGATAATTCAAAGCTTTGTACGTAACTTAATCACAGCAGATGTGTAACGTTGGCAATATATTTCAATTATTTTCCAATAATCATGTTACTCAATTGTTTTACAGACTCAATATGTCATTTATCTAATTATATTATTTTATAATTGCACTCTGTTTTTCAAACTGGTGAAAACGAGTATCAAAATTGAAATAGATTCAATCTAAAATCATTCAATTCAATATTTTTTTAGCTCTCCATTAGGAAGTTATTATGATGAGGTCGATTTTTAAAATTCGTGATTTTGTCATTCTTTTTTGTTTAGAGACATTTGAAAGCACATTAAAAGGTTTCAAAATAAATATCCATACGTACATTTGTATGATAAATTTACGTCGAAGTTTGAAGACGAAGATGATAGAATTTTAATTTCGTCGGAAATACTCGGTTGATACTATTAAACGTGTTTATTCTAAGCTAATCTTCATCAATAGGAATGTTTTGGAGTTTATTTGAGACATTTTTCACGTGAAATGCTCGAGTAGCGATTTTATCTATCTTGACAGATTTATTACCCTAATCCTTTGTTATTGTTTTGGAGTTTCTTTTTCGTCCATGGCCCAGATAAATTCACGGAAAATTCTCAATATAAAAATTTAAAACCTCTACCATTGTCTTGACTTGAATTTTTCTCTGTCTGACAGCCTACATAAATTTGCGAAAAAAAATTTAACACAAAATTTCATGAAGATTTTTTAATATCTATGATGAAATAAAAATTACATTTTTTCTTTTTATATTTTTACGTTCATCTACGAAAATATGTTATTAACGAAGTCATTCATTCTCAGGTAAAAATTTTTCAAACATTCATGCTCATTAGCTGAACATGTATTCGAAACGAGCTAGGAAAAAATGGATTTTAATTGAATAAATTTTTTGTAGGTAAATTATCTAATTTTAACAGAGTAGATAATTGTTGATTATTATAATTAAAAAAAAATTTTAAAAGTTAAAAAAATGATTTTGTTTCTAATAATACAACAAGAAAAAAGAAACTAGGACATTAATATTGAAAAATTTGTGTATCTAACTTATACTGCTTTTAAAACAAATTATTTTTCTATAAAATTGATCTTGCTCCATTGAAACAATATCAGTTAAGTATTTTTATAAAAAAAAAAAACGATGTATATAACATGGCAAACCTGAAAAAAATATTAATTATTGGAAAATACTTTACTAATCCTGAGCTGTGGGGTATAATAAACCTGAAAAAATCTATAAAAAAAGTATGAGGATATCAATCATTAGTCTATGTCACTTTTTCAATAAATAAAAATTTTTTAATTAATTGCAATGCTTTCAGTACTTTACGTTAAAAAATTATCAAACATTTCTGTCAATAATTGAGATCATATGCAACTGTAACTTCAAACTTTAAACTTCTGCAAAACCATGAGAATATTATTTTACTTTTTAACATAAATAAAATATTATAAATCATGCTATCTTTAATATTTCCTAGCAATTAATAATTTATATAACTTTTGACTTTGTAACTAATTGATGAAATTTCATTTAAATATTTCAACCGCCTGATATAATAACAAAAGCTCTTGATATTTTTCCAATGGAAACGCATTTGAATATTCCAGTTTGGTCGGGACGAGGATGATGAGCGAAATGAAAGTAATCCACCTCCGTTCATCACACCACCACCCCCAAATCTAGAAGGTAAGTTGATTTAATAGAGAATTAATGTTACATAATTAAGTATGAAATTCTATGTACATAAATTTTATATGTAGGTTCAAGTTTAAAAGGTGAGAAGGGTGATAAAGGTGATAAGGGGGAAAGTATTCGTGGTCCTCCAGGCCCACCCGGACCTCCTGGAACTGGATATGATTTTAATGAAGAGGTATCATTGATTTATTAACGATCTATATTTTTGAACAACCATTCACTCTACTGTTAATCATTATTATAATTACATGACACTTGAATATAATGATAAAATCATGAAAAGTATTTTAGATTAAATAATCTAATGTGAGTGAGTGATATTTTGAATAAAAAATTTTCTAGGATTTGCTGTCAAAACAATTGCAAGGTCCTCCAGGTCCAAAAGGCGATCCTGGCTCCTGTACATGTAATGCAACAGCTTTGATGACTAGTTTTTTGATGCCTAAAATGATAACAGGACCAAAAGGGGAACCAGGAGTTCCGGGAAAGGAAGGAAAGCAAGGACAAATGGGATTAACGGTAATTAAGGGACATGAATAGCTATTTCTTGCAAATTATTTTTAATATAGTAATAAATGGTAAAAAATTCAATTCGAGCAGTTATCAATAATTTTGCATATAATATTAATTAAAAAGTGAGTATATTCTATCATAAAATGAAAGCCACATGATGTAAAACATTTTGTTCCCAATCAATTTTCAAATATTACTCCAAAAATACCAGACATTATTCATCAAAAAATGATTACACGAAGAATTTAAAAAAAAATGATACTTTTTCTGGCTTCTTCATTTTTATGAATTTAAATTATAAAGTTAGAGTTATGAAAGTTTATAATGTTCGACATTCATGACCTCAAACTTTAAACTGTGATCATAGGGTGCTGCTGGACCACCAGGAGAACGAGGTCCTTCAGGACCAATTGGGCCAAAAGGTGACAAGGGTGATATTGGAACGACAGGTCCAGAAGGACCGCAAGGACAAAAGGGTGAGCCTGGAAGAGATGGAATTCCAGGTGAGAAAGGAAACCAAGGACCTCCTGGACCACCTGGAAAATCTGAAGACTTCTCTCCCCATGAAGTAAGTTTTCCAAATTTATCTCAATTAATCTCTGTTGTTTTATGTCATTCCTTTTATTGTAAATTTATCAATTAAAGTAATTGTTTTAATGATTCTGATTATAATATTTAGTCAGTAGCAATTTTATAATAAACACGCTCATTTTAGATTATCATTTTCTAATACTGTCATTGAAATTAGAGAATCAGTGAGATGATATATTCGAATGCTGTTTGTAACATGATCGTTTCTACTAGCAATAACATTTTATGACAAGTTGGATGCATTCAAAGCTTATATACATGTCCTGATAGCTTCAAACAAAATAAATTTCAGGTGATATTATCTGAATTATAATATATCTCATAGAGAATGAACTATATCTTATCATGAATATAGAATGCATGCATTTATGGAATTTGATACAATAGTTTATTTGTATAGCAAAGAAACTTTTGATACGTTGGAAATTAAACTCCATCACTATCAAAAAAATCATGATCAATAATAATTGATAAAGAGCTAGAAATATTGTGCTGCTATAGTTTTGGTAGATGTTGATAGATTTTTCTATTTGAAAATAGATGAAACAAATTTTTATAGTTGTCTTTTAGCTGCTCAATATATATTGAAGCAATTCATAAGTTTAAAACTATTTTCAACTTATAACATTTTATCAATACGATCAAGACAGTCGATATTTTATAAAAAAATTATCTTTAATAATTTGAAGAATAGAAAATGAACAACATAAAATAAAAGATTAAAATTAGACAACAAAATCAATGTTAATGACAGCTCTATAGAATGAGTGGTTCACAATTTGGTAAATTATTTCCAAAGAATAAAATAAAATTCACTCATTTCCTTTATAAATTATCGAAATGTCTCTTTTGTAAAAGAAAATTGCTCTATTCTCTTTAATTCTTTTTAACAATTTCAACGAATTATCGTAAAGACCTTTAGAATAGAATAATTAGAGAGCACATTTCAGCTTCAAGATCTGCTTGTGTTGTTTTAATTCTTTTATTGTTTGTTGTCTTAAAAAACGGAATATTTACCACCTAATTGAGTTTAATTTTCTATTAAATTTTTTTAAATAAAATCTACATTGATAAAAAAAGTGGAGAGATTAAAAACCAGAAGTTTTTACTTATGAAATATAGACAATGAAAGAATTTTTGATTCAATTTCTGTGTAAATATAAAAAATAATATTGTTAATTCCTCTTTTACTTTGAGTATACATTTTTATACTTAATTTGATTCTAGTTGTCGACATGTTTTTATAATTTCTCTACCAATTAAATCCAATAATAGGTACTTTCATAAAAAACACTGCATTCAGAGCATGAAAAAATGTTTAAGAATTTTTCCAACTAACAAGAGCTGAAGAATAGAAAAAAATTTACATTAAAAACTATGTCTTCAAGATTTTTAAAGTTTCATCGTTGGATGCTATGTAAAAATGAAACTACATTTATGGTTATTAAAAACTTCCAGGTTGTTATTTCTCGATCGAAAGTATTGTTATAACATTGATTTCCATGAATATACCTCAATACACTCTATCTCTATTATTTTATTTATCTTCCAGTTTCTTTACTTTTAATTCTTCATATTTTCTTCAATAATATTGATGTCAATAGACCGTGAAAAATTGTAAAATCGCATCAAGTATTTTAAAAGTACTTATAAAAAGTAAAATAGAAAATTAATTTCCATTTGATGATTTTAAAAATTTTGTATGCTAGATAGAATCAGTCGAAGCTATTTCTTGTTTATCAAATAAAATCTTAATTGTCAAAAATAAAATGACATATTAAATGAAAAGCATTGTAATTTATCAAATTTTCATTGAATTAATCAATAATGTGGTAATGCTGCAATGAACTAGTTGATCAAATTGATTGAATTACCAGATAGCTTGTTTACTAATTATATAGCTGATTAATAAATTGTCAGAAACTTAACTAAATTAAACTAATTTCCTTTTTCCACCATTGTTGTAGTTATCTATTATTTTTTTACATGATTATTCCAATTTAAATAATTTACTTTTAAAATACTTTTTAAATGAAATTGAAGCATTGTTCTCTCATGCGACCAGATCTATTAGCATATAGAATTGATGAATTTTCCTAAAACGTGTATAAATCTAATAACCGTTTCCAACTATTTCATAGTATCCTTTGCACATTCGCTGGTTTGGGACCTGATAGTAGATACTGAATACTATTCAAAGCATTGTTCTTGTGCTGGTAAGCATACTGGGTGCACACACGAGGTCAAGCATCGCGATTTCCCTTAGGAATACAGAAACCAATTTCCCGCTCGCCTACTACATATATCCTAACGTCAGGTGATGGGTAACGAACCGTAGAAATTATTTAAGAAACAGACAAAGATTCCAGTTGAAATATAAGTTATTGTTATCTTGGAAACATTTAATATATATTCGTGACATTTTTTATTAATATTTTTTATCTAGGTCATCACAACCAAGTTTGTTTGAAAAGGGTTTATTTATTGTTGTATGTTGTTGGAAACAGTTTATAGCTATTGAATTAATTGTTCTTATGATATTTTCCAATTTATTAAACAATTTGATATTGAGAATAAATTATTCATTTAATTACGATTTAATAAATCATTTATGCATGCAGCCTTGGATTCGGGGTATTTCACGAGTAAGTATATAAAGAGATAATTCGGATTAAATTTATATAAAAATTAGTCAATACTTGATTAACTGCTGCACTATTATTGAATATATTCTAAAAACAAAAAATCGGTTTCCTCGAAAAGCTGGGGAAATAGATGTTTATGATGAAAATGTATTACAGAGGAATTAATTTTTTTTTTTAATTTATAATAGGATAGTATTACAATGAGACCGGGATTACCAGGACAAAAAGGAGATGTGGGTGAGCCTGGAATACCCGGAACGAAAGGTGAACCAGGCATACCAGGGTCAAAAGGAGTGAAAGGTGAGATGGGACAAAAAGGATCCAAAGGAGATCATGGGAAAGAAGGCAGCCGTGGAATCCAAGGCTTTAAAGGAGAACCCGGTGCACCAGGTACTCCGGGTCTTCCTGGTGCTCCTGGAGAAAATGGTAGACCAGCTGAAAAAGGAGAAAAGGGTGATATCGGACCAGAAGGCAAACCAGGTGTGCCTGGACCTCCTGGTCCTGCTGGAACTGGTGGTGGAAATGGTGAAAATAATTCGGGTAATTAGATAAGTTGGTTCAATCCATTTAAATTAATTAAATATAAATAATTGTGATTGTTATCGATAATTACTCTTCAACAACTTTTTATTGAAACAGGAATAAGAGGTCCAAAAGGTGAACCTGGTGCAAGAGGATTCAAGGGTGAAATCGGAGTAAAAGGTGAAAAGGGAAGTAAAGGTGATACAGGTCCTTCAGGGCAGCCGGGAATGAATGGAGTTCAAGGGCCTCAAGGGGAGAAAGGTGAACCAGGGAAAGATGGAATTCCTGGAGTAACTGGCACTGCTGGGTCGAAGGGAGAAAAAGGCGAAAGAGGTCCTCCTGGAGTTACAGCAATTGCTGGAACCGGTGATTACGTAACGATTAAAGGAGAGAAAGGTTCTGAAGGTAAAAGAGGAAGAAGAGGTCGACCAGGACCTCCAGGACCACCTGGAAAACCCGGAACTTCTGGCGAAATAGGACTACCTGGATGGCCGGTAATGCATTGCATTATAATAAATAAATCAATTTGCATGTATAATGATCCTGAATTTAAATCAAAATAATATTTATCCATTGATGAAACAAAAAAGTAAATTTAAAAGCAAATTTCTTTGAGTTTTCGAATTAGGAAATATTTATAAATACTGCATACTTGAATAACGGAAATTCTCTAATGGCATGAAGAATCAAAAAGTTTTTTAAAAGAACTCTATTGTAGTTTTGAAAAAGAAAACTAATAGAAAAATCATATTTTCTTTCTATTATTCCCGTACAAACTTCATATTACGATATTCTACTACTTACTCTCAAGAGAATGCAATCCTTACAGGAATTGCATAAAAAGATTTGTTTCGAATAAAAAATACTTTACAAAATTTATATATCATACTGAAATAAAATATTTTTATGAGCACTTTTTGTTAAAAAAAATTTTACAACACATTTCAATACTGAAGCTGTTTATTTTATTGAACTCATTATCACTAAGATATGAATATTGAATGAAGTCAATTTAAAAATAATTTATAAATTAAATAAATATTTTAAAATATGATCAAATAAAAAAAAGCTACAATACATGTTTTAGTCTTTTATATTCTTCTTAGGCTCATACATTCATCTAACTTTTAGTCGATATAGTTTTCCCAGCATAATTAGTCAAAAAATCAACATCAAATATTTGATGAAATGAAGATAATGAACTACATGTAAACTTCAGTCAATTCCAGATTTGCTTGTAAAAAATTGAAAACTCAAACTTGATTATAATTAATCAACTAATTAATAACCCACTAATAAATTAATGTCTAATTAGTGATCTCATTTTAAAGTTATAAGTACACACGTTCCCAATGACATTAAAAATAAAAAAAATTTTCTTGTAATTTTTTTGCTGGCCTATATAGAACCAGTTGCATAAGGTGGGTGTAAATAAATAATTATTAGCGATGTATTGACATTATGAATTTAATTACTAAACACAATGAAATGTACAAATATTAAATTATTTGTAAAGCTCTTTAACTCGATGTTGTTTTTCTATTTTTATTGATCAAAATATTTATTGATCAGGGTCGTCCAGGACCTCCAGGACCTCAGGGACCAACTGGATTAAAAGGTGAAAAAGGTGAACCTGGTATGCTGAGTTCATATGGAAGTGTTGTTGGTGTAAGTTTCCAAATCAATTTAATTTACTCTGTTATTACTTTAATTCTCATTTAATTACATTTTAAAAAATTCAAATTCGTTTATAAGATCTTTAAGGTTTTATTTAACTTTTATCATAAAAAATTATGTCAGACAGATTTTTGTCCCCCTAACCTGACGGATTCGGGTCGCATTTAAGCTCATGAATATAGACTTTTGAAAAGGGTTCAATTCGCTGAGTATCCAGTGAGTGAATTCTCATTTCAATGATGATGAAGATTGACAGAATTTTAATGCCCAGATATAAATTTAAATATAAACATTCTCACTCACAGTTGACTATTGTATATCATTAGATAATCTTTTTTTCAAAAACACTAGAGCCAAACAAGTTAGAATTGCAGAAATAATATTCACTAATAAATTTCTAGTAGTTGATCATAAACAATATAATGTTAGTGATAGCAATAGCTGAATTTCTCATTTCAACTGATTTGATTGAGATAAATAAATTTTAAACAAATCCAACCAACGATAAACTTGAGTTCCGATAATATAAATAAGTACTATTGATTCTTATGTAAAACACTCGTATACCCATTTATTTCATGAAAAAAAAACACTTAACGCGATTTATTCCGAGTGACTGATTCGAAACAATTGAATCGAATAAAAACACGATGAGATTGGCGTTTATGTAGAAAAAAAATTTGTGTTCAAATTACTTTCATTTTGATGACAAACAATGAATAAAAAAGTATCTGTCTCTATTTTTAATCAATTTCCTTCGATCTTATATTTAAAAATAATATTTCCATAATTATCCTGATACCTTAAATAAACAAAAATTATCCTGTCTTTGAGCTAGAAATAAATTGTTTTAATTATAAGGGGAACTGAACGACTTGATTCTACAGTGGAGTTAAGTTATTTACGTGTTAGGATATTGGAGATGGTTCAACTTGCGTATTGTAGGGTCAAGTCTCCTGGACACCTCGTAAGCTAAAACGATTGAGTTACTCAATTGTTTGAAAAAATAACAAAATAAGCTTGCAAATATTACTTGGCATGAAAAATTTTACTTATATTTGAACATTTAAACATATGCATGAATGTTAAATCTTTAATTCCAAGTAATATATCGTTCAATCAAAAGTTAATAATTCAATACAACAATCCCATATTTAACAGATCAAAATTTTATCAATTCGAAGTAGCGTTTTTCTTTAAATAAATGATTCAGTATCTCTATTAATAAAAAACCAGATTCCCGTCATAATGCTATTGATTATTCTTATCTTCTCTATTTGTTATTTATGTTACTTCACTGGACAAAAAATATCGATAATTCATTTACTTCATAAACACATAGATAAAAGGAGATAAAGGAGAAAAAGGAGATGAAGGATTTCCGGGAAGTCCAGGATTTCCTGGCAAAGATGGACAGAGAGGATTGCCTGGACCTCCAGGACCACCAGGACCTCCCGGGTTATCACTAATTGGTCAGAAAGTAGAATCTGGTATTGGAAGAGGTCATATTTTTGGAGAAAGGGATTATTATGGTGCCCGTCAAGGTATATTTACTTATGAATTATATTCGCAATTAATTTCGTACTTATTGTATAAAACAAATCCTGTAAAATAAATCCTGCATTTAATTGCATGCTACAAGGAGCCAGAAGTAGTATTGATGAATTGAAAGTTATTCGAGAATTGAAGCAATTGAAAGAATTAAAAGAACATTTTGGTAAAGTATTAATCATGTTATATTATTAAGTAGATTATTCGATGCACTAACTTTATATAAGCTTCTCAAACTCATTAGTTATTGTGCTATATTTTTATTTAGGGATTAGCTTGTATAGATTATTGGTTGCTTAGTTTGATATACTTTAATTAAGATAATGTTTTAAAAGTGTTCAAAAGAAGCTACAATTTAATCCATCAAAAGAGAATTTTTTTCTTTCGAATATAGTTTGAAAGTATTCTTACAAGAAAATTGAAGGATTGCAAATCTACCATTGAAAACGTTTCCAATAGTAGATTTGATAAATAAAAAAAAAATCTAAATCTGCCCCAATTCATTTACATTCAATCAATTTTCTTTAAAAATAACTCCTAATTTTCCGAGCCATCAATTTCAAAGCTTGTATTTATTTTCAGAACTGTTTATCAAAGCATTTAGTTGTTTTTAATCATGAATTTTTTATGATAAGTAATTGATTAAAATCAATAGCCCAACTTTAAATGTTAATAGTAGCATAAAAGAATTCTGTCAATTTGGAAATATTTCGTGAAATAAATAATTAATATTTAGCAGCTGGTAGTGGAGGAACGAAAGGATCTCATGAATCAACAACTAAAATAGTCCCAGGTGCAGTGACATTTCAAAATACAGAAGCAATGATAAAGGTACTGTTCAATTCAAATAAAAGCTCAAGTATAAACATGAAAGGTTTTTATACTCACTAAAAACAAAATATTTATTTATTTAGATGTCAAATGTGAGCCCTGTTGGAACATTGGCTTATATCATTGATGAAGAAGCATTATTGGTTCGTGTAAATAATGGATGGCAATACATAGCAGTAAGTTGATTAAGAAATTTATTCAATTTACAAAAACAAATTTTTTTAAAATAATTGTTCAGTTATTAGTTTTGATTAAACACTATATAAATTTAATGATTTTTTATCAGCTTGGAACATTACTGCCGATATCTACAACACCTCCACCAACTACAATACCACCACCAGCTAATCCTCCCTTTGAATCATCGAACCTTATCAATCAAATACCTGTAAAAGCCAATGGAACTGGGGTGAGTATTTTTTAAATCCTTGATTTTTCTCGATACCATTATTCGTGAATATATACATCACTGTAAACAATGATGCAGAAAGAAAAAGGTCAAACCACATAACTCTTTAAAACTGGTTTTTTGGTTAATCTTCAATGTTCCAATTGATAATATTATTTATAAAATGCCAAGTTAAATTCAAAACTAACATTTAACGGTTTACTTGGTTCTATTCAATCGTCAAAAATAGTTTCAAAATATTTGATTGGCATATGGTTCAATAAAAAGAAAAAAAACTCTTTTGAGATATCGATATTATTAACTATCGATAATAATAATGATCATTTTATTGTAATAATCAAAAATCAAACTTTGTTGAAAATTTATTTATCAAGACGAGAATAATATTTAATTGAAAATCAGCTGTAAAATATTATTAATTAAACTAATGTGATTTCCAACGTTATCTATTTTAATTTATTGCCAAATAAGCTTAATAACTCATCATTGCTTAAAACTTTATCATTGAATAATGATAGTACTATTTTTAATACAACTTTATCTACCTTTAACTAACGACTTTTATCTGAGAAATAGAAAAAATTGAAGTAATTAATCATGTCAATTTTCTGCTATTAAAAAACCTTTTTTTCCCCAATATGTCGGATTGAATCAATCAATAATTTTGACAAATTGAATTATTTGAGTGAACTATTCGATCGATGTTCTAAATTGATAAAATTATTTAACAAAGATTGAAATTAAAAATAGTTTTACTCATTTTATTATTCATCTTCATTAAAAAATTTTTTTAAACTTATTATTGAAAAAGAAAAATCTCTAATATTTAAAATGAAATGAGATGCTTTTATCTTTCTAAATAATCTGATGAAAAGATTTATACGTGTTAAGAAGGTGGGAAAAGATGGAAAACGATCAAAAGAGTTCTGAGGGCAAAAAATGGTTAAAAAAGTTAAATGTAGTTTCTTTCTTAATAAGAAAAACTATAAAATCAAAGTTAAGTGTTAATTCATTCTCATAATAAAAATTATGCACCATTATTACAAACGTTATTTTATGAACAAACTATATTTCATAATAGTAGTCATTTTCACTATAAAAATATTTAACAAAATAATTCCTACAATAATTAAAGACATCAATAAATTATTAACAATAATTATTACATACGCTTACATAAAACACCAATGTACACATCGAATACTTTAGAATTAATTATGTTGATTATTAATGTACCTGCTTTATAGCTAATACTAAGTTATACCATTTATTATTAATGTACTTATGAATGTGTACATCTTTATAAAAAAATGTATTTCAAAATTATTTGTAATTATTTGTGACCTCAATTATAATTTAGTAATTAAATTGATAGCCTAGAAGTAGATTAGTTATTAGTGAAATTTAACAATATCTCCATTGAAAAATAGATTTCACAGCAATTATTCAATTATCAAATGTAATTATAAGCATCATTAATAACTAAGAGGCCACTTTATATGCTAGCTCACTTAATCCTTCTTGACCCTATATGATAATATATTTTTACATTCACTTCCAATATAATACTAAGCACTATATTTTCAATGCTGCAGTGGTATCCTAAAAAGGTAATATTTTAACAATTACATATAATATTTATCATTATAAATACATATATTAGTCATAAAAATTTTTTTTCATCTTGTTTTTATTTTATAAAAGAAAAAAAATCAATAAAATATATTCAGTGGTGAATTAATTAAATGAAAAATCATAACGAAGAATTTACATAAGATATAGAACAAAAGAAAGAAAAATTTTGATTGACAGATAAAACAATCTTGATATTGAAAAATTACAGCTGCGGATGGCTGCACTCAATGAACCTATGACTGGTGATATGCACGGTTTAAGTGGAGCCGATTTTGCTTGCTATCGACAAGCCAGACGAGCAGGATTAAGAGGAACTTTCCGTGCATTTCTAAGTTCAAGAGTGCAAAATGTTGACAGCATAGTGCGATCAAGTGATAGAGACTTGCCTATTGTGAACATTAAAGGAGATGTTCTCTTTAATTCATGGAGGGAAATGTTTAGCGGGAATGGAGCTTATTTTTCACCAAACCCAAGAATTTATAGCTTTAATGGAAAAAATGTTCTTACTGACTTTACCTGGTAAGTATCATCTTAATCTTATTCCATTTGATTCCATTTCATATTCAGGTGGAATGAGAAAATATTTCATCTTCATAAGGTACATTTGTTATAATCTATTGAAAATTTTTTAGGCCGAATAAAGTAGTTTGGCATGGATCCCACAAGCTTGGAGACCGTGCAATGGATACTTATTGTGACGCCTGGCATTCTGGAAGTTCCGACCGTTTTGGATTAGGTTCTCCAATTACGAGAGGACGTCTTTTGGAACAATCTCGATATTCTTGCGATAATAAATTTGTATTACTATGTATAGAAGTAACAAGTGAGACAGTGAGGAGAAAGAGAGGTCTAATAGATTTTCCTACTCATTTAAACAACCACAATGATAATTATTACTACAAAGATACAAATAATGTTAGTGATAATGAAACCCGTGATGATAATTATGATGATGATGATGATATCTCTGAAGAAGATTATCAGACATATTTACGTAAAGTAATGAAAAACTAATTATTTCATTACCATAAACTGTAACAAGTTTTTAAATATACATTAACTCATCATTTCGAGCATTAAAATACCTCGAATTTGATCTCCTCAGTATTTAAGAGTTTCATAAAAATTTCCAACCATTCGATGAGGAATGATCTTTGAGATTTTAAATAATTGATCGTAAAAAATAATAATTTACATTGACAAGACTGAGAGTCTCAAATTCGTTCTATAAAAGTTATCATATCTCGATCATATCACCTAGAATATTCTCATACTATAATGGATAATATAAAATTAACTCAATAACTATTAAAAATAAACAACTTCAACTAGAAATTTTTCATCAATAAAAATCATCAATATCGCTATAAATGTTAATAAAATGTCGGTTTCAAACGTACTGTACAAGCAACAATAAACGATCAACTTTAGGTTTATAAAAAACAAACAGCTCTAGTGTTTATTTTTTGAATGCTTTATGATATTTTATATAATCTGACTAAATTTAAAAAATCCATTGTTTTTAAAAATTGTAAAAATTTCTTGATGATGCCTGAATATATTTACTATGTAATTTTATTGACTAAATTATTTAACATAAATTGCTTTATTAATTTCAATCGAAAATATTCTCAACCCACAATTATCAAACGTTAATTTTGTTCAAAATTTAAATAATTAAATGAGACTACGTGAGGCAATAATTATTTTTCAATTCATATTACATTTTTAACGTAGTTAGATATTTGATAATAAATGAAAAAAAAGAAACGTTGATTTGAAAGAATTTTTGCCACGAAAATATTTAAGATTGAGATTATTACTTGTAACTGTACTTATTAAATACTCAAAATCTCAGATGTTAAAAGGTTTAATTTAGATATAAAAAATAGCCAAAAAATTAATTTTAGGAATGAATAATATATGTAAGCGTGGATAATATTTATGTTCTAAATACTGCCATATCTTGTATAGTCTTTGTGACAACATTACTGATGATAATTAATAGTACTAATAAGAATTGATTTATACTAAACCTTAACGTAAATTAAGAATGATATTAATATATTGTTTTTAATACATTGCGATACTTAAATGGTCATAGAGATTCCAATTAATTATTAATTCCAAATGATAATGTTACCAGAATTTAAATACAATATCATTTACCATACTATTTGAAAAAAACTTATCTAAATTAGGTCATTTTTTTCGACAACCTTAGCATAACTTTTTTAATTATTTTTATATCCATGGAAACAAATAAACATCGAATTTGAATTTCCAATGTAAATGTACCATTAATTTAAACCTCTAAAATATGGAGAAAGTATAAATAACAAAATGTTTGTGTGTGGAAAGGAATTATATTTACTGAAAAAACATATACTTTGTGTCATTATTATGATGGATCAATTAAATAATAAATGGTTGAATAATTAATTATTACCTTCATATTGTTTTGCTAAAAATAATTTAACGAAATTTCCATTATTTGTATTTTTTATTAATGTATTTCTTAATAAAAAGTAATCAATGTTTTATTTTTTCAATACTTTTATTCATCAATATTCATACGTACTTTTATCAAATATAAAAATCGAGCGATTATACAGGTAAATTTATAAAAAAAATACATATGGATATAACAGCTATAATCTAAGAGATAAATTCTAAAATCCAAAATCTATGGAGAATTAAGAGAACTTCAATTTGTGAGGTTTTATTGATTATTATATTCATAAACAAGCTTCAACACATGATTATAAACTAAATCTCTTGACTTTGCTCCCCATACGAAATCCATATGTGTAAATCCTGAAGCATTCACGACATGTTGAACAACGATATTAGGCACTAATTGCAATAGTTTATTCAAATCCTGTTAAAAAAATACTTGTATTGACTTTAATAGTAACTTATTATTATTGTCTTGGTTCTTGACCATTATCTTATCAGTATCTATATTATATTACAATATTTCACATCGTTAATACTTCAAAGCCAATTCCAATTTTAATTTATAATAAGACACATTCTACTTAAAACTACCTTTTCTTATCTTTAAAAATGTGAAAGAACCCAGATCTAATTGTAAAAATTGGTTCATTGAATCTATTTAATTAGTGAATCAAAAATAAATATTTTAACTACATCTTGGTTCAATATTTTTCTGCTGATCTTTTAATTATTAAAATAGAATATCTATTATTAAATTAATTAAGCAACGATCTACCAATATAAGTTAGTTTTTTATTTTTTCTCAATTTTCCGAGAATTGATTATTGAAACCTATTAAATGTATCTTTCACATGGATCAAGTATTTTTGTTTCTAATTAAATCAAACTATTGATGGATGTTAAATTTGATTAAACAAACTTTTTTTTAGATTATATGATTAATATTATTTTTCAATACTTACCGGAAACTTGACAAAAATATCAGAGTCCCCCAAAAATATCCCATTGGGTTGAGTGATTTTTTTCAAATCATATTCTGGAGGTGTTGAAGAATTGTAGAGTTTCAAATTGGTTGCTTCACCATAATCATATAGATTGAAACGACCGGACATTGTATGTTGTGCGTAAAAATACATATTTTTTGCGGAAGTTCCAGCGGGAAAATTAGTTACTATTGCTGGTAATATGGTCTTTAATCAAATTAGCATAAAAATAAATTATTATACTTATTGAATGTTATTAAAACTAAATTATCCAAAATATTCAAAATTACCATGTCGAATAATTCAGGTCTTTCATATCCAAGAAAACTGGACACTACATTCAAACAATTATAATTTCCTAATGATAACACTGCACAGAATAATTTAAGTAAAAAAATGGACAACCGCCAACTTGGAGTGAAAAAGGTTTGCACATTAGTGAAAATTTGTACTACCTAAAATATTAAGATACACTTATATTATTCTTCAAGTATTAAAGCTTTTACGACTTCTTATGAAGAAATAATTACTCTGTACAATGCTGCTACACAATATAAAGCAAATCGCTGAAGTGGACCAATAATATGGCCTATGTAAGCAACTGGTGCTAAAGATATTGGCAGCTTCAATGAATTTGCAACATCTGGTCGTAAGATTCCAAGTACAAAAAATAATACTGTGCCTTGAGAGTGACCAATATAGAATGGATATTGGTTGGTTGAGGCTTGAATGTAATAAATGATTGCAGGAAGATCATATATGGCCATCTCATGATAGCTTTACAATTATATATGAAAAAATATTATTGTCTACTGTTCAAATCAATTTTTTTTTTCAACTTCAAATTACCTAAAGTCCCAAAATTCAGTATCATCTGTTGTCAAATTAACATGATTAAGTCCATATGTATTTCCCCGAACGTTTCCAAGCCAGACATCATATCCTTCATCAACTAGTAAATATGCTAACAAATAATATTTTTATAAAGTCTATCGTATATCAAACTTCAAAAATAAATGAGTGAAGTTCACTAAATGTAGTGATTTCCATTAATTTATTTTCAGATAGTACTATAAAAAAACCTAATGATCGTTCTTTTCCAGAAGCAAGCCATAAAGCTGAATTGCATAGCAGTCCATGCACTAGTAAAATTGGTTGTGCTCCTTCGCTTCCTGGGATTCGTTGTACAGTCAATATGTATCCATCCTCAGTTGTGACATTGTGTATTTCTACAGTATATCCATCACGTTCAGCCATACTCTCCTAACGATAAACAAACGTAACAAATCTAAAGCTTATCGACATATAAACTGGATAAAAATTAATTACAAGATTTCCTTGCAATCGATGAAATATCTCTGAACAAAAGTCAATTTTAACTTACAGTTGACCAATAATCATTTAAAAAAAAATCAGAAAATGAACTTTGGATAGTACAGAATGTACTGAAAAAAAAGAAAATGCTAATTTGAATAGTAATCATTCTTTCAATGACTGTCATACCAGATGACAGAATAGACACTGTTAGAGGGTAATTACACATCTTGAAAATTTATAAACTTTGCTTATCGAATTTCAAAAATACCTCTACTTATGTATAATTATACTTACAATTTTATTTTATCATAACATAAAATTTTATGATCTCTAATTGTCGCATATAAGTCACTCTGTACGTTTATTTATGAAATATGTGGGAGTATACATTATTCTATTGTTTTGAGTGATTCATCGTAATTACATATAAGTATAAAAAGTTATTTTATTCAATTGAATGCATCAGTTCTAATAACACGTTGTTAGTTGACAACACTATATAGTATATCAATTTCAACAATGATTATACATTTCACTCATTTATTTCTTGTGATAAAACTATTCATATTTTTCAGATATTTGTGCTATAATTTTTCCATATTTTTCAAAATTAATATTATTCAAATTATTCTCATACTATCATCGACTATATTGAATTAATTTGAGAAACCTCGTCGAGAGAATTTGCTAAAATTTTCAGAGAATGTTTATAATTTCTCATGAAAATTGATTTCATGGTTTTAAATAATAAATCATTTTAATTAAAAAAACTTATGATTCCGTTATTCAGATTAATTTTGTTAATTTTATTTAGCTTTTCGAATTCCAGGATGTTACAGTAGAGCAAATTTATGATTTACTTTACAAAATAAATACTTTAAATCATGAGCTATAGTAAATTAATAGAATTTTTATTAATAAATTATCAATTATTATATCTATCAATAAGCTCTAATATTCGAGGATAGATAACATCTCTTGATTTTGATCCCCAAAGAAAGTCCATATGACTAAATCCTGAAGCATTTACAAGATGTTCATCCACGATATTGGGCAGTAGATTAAATAATTTATTTAAATCCTGTAAAAAAAATATACTTTAAGTAACTGATAATCATTATGTTTATTGTTGACAACTACAATTTTCACATTCATTATAATGTATTGACATTTTTCCTATTGAAAGACAATTTCAATATTCTCATTCAAGATAAGATAAAAGTTTTTATTTCAAACAGAACATAAGACAGCTATAGTAATTGAAATACATGAAGGGCTTTAAATCTATGCTATGTTACAGAGAATTATTTGAAATATGTAAGAAGATTACTTACTGGAAGATGAGCGAATACATCAGCATCTGCTAAAAATATTGCATGTGGTTGAGTAACTTTCTTCAAATCATACTCTGGAGGTATTGGAGAATTATAGATTTCTAAATTTTTGGTTTCACCGTAGTCATAACGTTCAAAACGATCAGTCTGCATAAGTTGAGCATAGAGGCGCATATTTTTCTTGGATGTTCCAGCTGGAAAATTAGCTGCAACTGCTGGTAATATTGCCTTTCAAAAAAAAAAATTTACTTTGATAATTATTATTAATCAAACATTATTAATATTTCGTAGTAATAATATTTAAAATTACTTGATCAAATAATTCAGGTCTTTCAGCACCAACAAGTGTTGGAAACAAATCTAAGCAATTATAATTTCCTATTGACAGTACTGCACATAGTAATCTGAGTAAAAACAAAGGCCAAAACGGAGTCATAAAAGTTTGTATGTTAAAAACAATTGACAGTACCTGAAATTTTTAAGATAGATTAGTCTAATTCTTTTTATTGTTCATCATTTATTCATTTTTAAAATATCATAATAGTTACTTCTACTAACATCATCGATTTTTCTCAAAATATTTGATATTAATCGTAAGACTGGATCCCACATATCTGATTTGTAAGCAACTGGTGCTAAACCGATGGATAATTTCACTGTATTTGCTACATCTGGTACTTCACTAGCTAATATATAAAACATTGCTCCACCTTGCGAATGACCAATATAGAATGGATATCGGTTGGTTAAGGCGTGGATATAATTAATCATTGCAGGTAAATCGTATACAGCCATCTCATGATAACTTTATATTTACAACAGAAAATTAATCTTTTATCTTCTGCAAATGATTTGATCAATTTTCTTTTTAATCAAATTACCTGAAATCCCAAAATTCAGAATCGCTTGTCGTTAAGTTAATATGATTCATTCCTTGCGTATTCCCACGAATATTTCCAAGCCAAACATCGTATCCTTGATCAGCTAGTATGTATGCTATCAAGTAATAATGTTATTACAAAATATTTATATGAATTTTATAGTGTATTTATGAAACTATGATGAAACCTAATGAATGCGCTTTTCCAGAAACAATCCATAAAGCAGAATTGCCTAACAGTCCATGCTGTATTAAAATTGGCTGTCCTCCTTCACTTCCTGGGATTCGATGAACAGTCAATATGTATCCATCCTCCGTTGTGACTGCATGTGTTTCTATAGGATATCCATCTCGTTTAGCTATATTCTCCTAAAAATGAATAAATGTAACAGCATTAAAGCTGATTGACATGTAATATACTTAGTAAAAACTCATTATAAATTTTTCCTTTGAATAAATTGTATATTTTCTGAGTAAAAATTAATTTTCACTTACAGCTAACCAGTAATCTTTCAAAAAAAAATCACTAAATGAACCTTGTATATTACAAAATGTAAAAACAAAAATGAAAATGCTTATTTGAATTTTTATCATTTTTTCGGTGACTGTTTTACAAGATGGCAAAATAAACACTGTTATACTTTAGTAAGTAATGGGTTTCGCTTATCAAATTAAATAATAATACCTCTACTTATATATAATTATACTTTTACTCCAATTTTATGATCTTTAACTGCATTTAAATATAAAATTATAAAGTTAATAGACATGTTTCGCGTGTAACTTTACGTACGTTTATCTGTAATTCACTTATGTTTGTACGTAATTGTTTTTCTTCGAACAATAATCATTATATTTTATATATAAATATGAAAAAATGTAGTTTTTTGTTTCATTCCCAGATATAATTAGTTGATAAAGCTGTAACAGTTATGTTGACGGTGAATAATTAATATACCAATTAATTAAAACAGTACAGAATTAATATATTTACTCTTATCTAATTATATTTATTAATTACTGTCTAATTTTAAGGCTACTAAAGCTTCTGTTAAATTTAATCCTTCCAATATGTACGCTAAATTTTCGACTGAAGCATCTTCATCAGCTTCCACCCAAATTTTCAACATGCTCATACACTGTTCGTATAAAGTAGATTTCCCACGGAAAAAGGCAATCTATTGGAAAAATAAATGATTATATAATAATATAATAGTTTTTCAAATTATATTGAAGTTTTTTATCGTTAATTTTATGAACAATTTATTAGATAAATATATCGAACCTCATCTTGTTTATATCCAAGCTTAATAGCCAATTTTTCCCAATCGTTCTTCAATACTTCTGAAAGTTTTATAATCATTCCTTCAGTAATAGGATTTGTCTTGCCAGCTTTATGATCGGAGTTTTCTGATTCAACTACTTCTGAATCTTGTTTCAGAACATCTTCATTAAATTCTTGTTCACTGGAATCTGGAGGAGTAGTTTCTTCAACGTCAGCTTTAGCATCAGATTGAAGCTAATGAAGTGAATACTAATATTAATTACTAATTATTTTAATATTTATATAAAAAAATAAGAATTCAATATGATATAGATATTTGAATAAATCAATCAATTACTTACTGGCCTGTCTTTGGCAATTTTTTTAATCATTAATTCAAGATACTCCGGCAATTTATTGATAGGATTATTTCCATGAACGAAAAAGTGTGGGCTTCGTCTAGCTAATAATCTCAAGGCTCTCCATCCGAAATTGCCATCATTAACTTTCCTTTAAAAAGAGAAGAAATTAAAAAAATACAACGATTTCAAATGATTGAAGAACTATTATTATATTTACTTATATTCATCTTCAACCATAGAAGCAGGATCTAATTCCACTATTGCTGTTTCGAAATAGGTCTCCAATGATGGTAAGAAATCTCGATCTTTCGATTTGCAAGATTCTAAATTATTTGGACATAGATTCCATAATTTAGTGAGCTCAGGGCTACAAAAACACCAATGATTAACATTCTACATACAAACATTAGTCATAAATATTCAATATTTAAATTTCAATTAATGTATTCCTTAATATCGATAAATAACTTACTTTCCCATGTTAAATCTACCCGCAGCTTGTGCTTCTCGAATCACATCGCCAATCCGACGTCTCATTCTTTTAACTTTTTTCGGCTCATCATTTTCACCAGAATCATGAGCAGGTTTTTTGAACGGTGGACAACCATCATTTTTCCAGGCATTCCAATGTTCTTCACGTTTCAGAATATTTTTAACAGTTTCAGCAAATGCTCGACCATCTGGAGGAGTTTCAACTAATAAATTGAATACTTGTTCTGTAGTTATTTTTACCCATTCAATTTGATCTGGTTTTAATTCATGAGTTTCACTAAAAAAAAATTAGGTCATTTTGATGCAAATATTTTCATATGAATTATTGAATACTTACGCTTTAAATTTGACAGTGCTATTGAGATATTGGAATAAAATTAAGAACTGGAGTAGAACATAACGTCGAAAATTAGAATCAGAAAGTTGCAATTCCAGTAGCTTTTGATTGGTGAGATATTTGGCAAAATAATGAGTTTCTTTGTACGAATTTTCTCCAACTGATTCTCTTCTGATTCCAGTCGTAGAATAGGTTCGTTGATCTTCTAATTTGAAAGAAGAAAATGCAGAGAGCACACTTGTAGCATGCTGAAATCATCAAAATCTAATAAATTTAATGATGACAGCAATAATGTATAATTATTATCTGAAAAGAGGAATTCTTACAGCAGAGAAAACTTTCCAATGCATTTTATTATAACATTGATTAGGATTTCTAAAGAAATCTTGTAGAGCCCAAAATTTTCTGTATAAATTATAATCCATCTGTACTTTAGTTTCTGTCTTATCATCTTCTTCCATCGGTTCTACAGCATCTTCATCAGTCTTTTCTGATCCGAATTCAGTATGATTGTCTAAATTAAATTCGCTTACAATATTGAGTCCAGATCGTTCGGAGAATGGAAAGAATTTAGCAAGAAATAATAAAATTCGTCCACAAAACACTGTTTGTTGGGAACGAGATAATCGTCGCAATAAATCATTACACATTCGCAACAAATTATTTTTACAAGCACTGAAAAATAATTCTTCCTTCCATACAGCAACATTATTCTCAACATAAGTGAATAATTTTTCACATTTATCTAGTGTCATCGCGTCAAAAATATCACTCAGAAGCATTACTGGCATACTAGTTGTTGCTAAATCTTTTCTACAAATTTCAATTGTTATTGTAATGTAAGATTCTAAGGCAGAAACATTTTTCGTTGCATTTTCCTGGAGAATAACAAGCAAAGTATCTCGCAATGCTTGATCTATCGCAGCTTTTCTATCTAAATCATTTGGGCAAGCTTCGATACATTTTTTTTGAAAATTTCCAACATCAGAAATTGCTTGACATTGCTGCAAGTAATTCTGTAAACAATTAGTATATAACAAATTATAAACATAACCTAAACTAGAGAACATTTCAATGGAATTTCTCAAAGGTGAATTAGAACATGATTATTCAATTTATTTAAACTTACGCTATAAATTTTTCGTAATTTTTCGAACGTTGCCATTGTATATTTTTTTGTTATAAAAGACAAGTTATTTCTTTTTTACAAAATAAATGTAACGAATTTTTCGAAGCTCTGTGTTCAAAACTCCATTTTGTATATACGCTAAATTAAACACACTGCACTAGATGACGTCACATCGGAGTTCTAAAAGGCGCCAAAAATGGAAAAGTCAATATTTAATGATAAATAATGATAAAATTAATTATTTTTATTAGTAAAATCTTTTAAATGATCAATAAATTTCTCTATTAATAAATTTTATCAAATAAATTAATTTTTGACCGAATTATGGTTACTTATTATCGATAATATTGAAACTTTTTCCTGACAAAGGAACAAGATGGCGGGACTGAGTTAAGACTATTGAAAGGGTTAGGATAGGTGGCGTTTGTATTCTTCCAAACTTATAAATGATTATCGGCGCAAACTCGAGCGCCATTGAACGCATTATTCCCGCATGGCGGACGATGACCTGACCGGATTTACGTGTTAGCAAGCATGTATTGTGTAGTATCTAGTTGAGTGGTAATTCTTTTTTCTAAGTAATTAACTGAATTGAAATACAAGCTTTATATTGACATCATAAAGAGATAAGTTTAAATAGTGTGTGATTATTGAACAAAATAGTGCGCAAAAGTTGTTTTTCTCAACTAGTCAAGGAGCAAACATAGGAGGCAGACGAGTGCTCGTTGAGCATGGCGTGGTGTGCGGTTTAGTAAACAACTTGTGTACGAATTACATAAAAATCTATGACCCACAAAATCAGTTTTAAAGACACGCAGTATTGGAATTTTCGATAAATTATTTTCAGTGAATTGTGAGAAATATTTGTGGTTAGTTTCTTTTGTTAGTGTGGATAGTGTTTTTTTTGCTGTTCGATTCAAGCTTGCTGATTGTGGCGTGGAATTTTTGGAACACGGCGTGCTATGGTTCAGTAAGTATCTCTGGACTATTCACATCTTCGTTTCTCCTCTTGATAACTTTTATGTCTCTACTCTAGCACATCTATTCTCTTGAATTTATTTTCTCTCTTTTTCGTTTCTTTCTTTACTAACGACGTATTTTAAGAACTCAGGGCCACTGTATTATTATACCGTAGTTTAACTTAATGTATAATTTATTGACATCAACAATTTATTGAATATACATAAGTGTGTTGTTTTCAAATCAAAATATTGATCATCTAACAAAATAGTTGTTACAAAAATATTTTTCAAAATTTTCTACTGTTTGATAAACTCACAAAATTGGAGTAAAAATAATGTAAGTGTCATTTCGTAGTTTAAAATTAGAAGCATGATTCTCTATTAACGCGAAGAAAAGATGCTTTTTGATGAGTAGAGTCTGATGAAATCTTTGATGTATTGAGGACGCACTCGTTTCGATGGATCACCCATCGCTTGGCTTCTTATATGTTACCAATTCATTCTTATCTACACTACTATTATTCTTTAGCAACAAGTTGCTGAATTTATTTTAAATAAAATATATTAATTTTTTCCTTGATTTTATGTTGATGTGCCTGTTGAATAAATATTATGCCCAGGCTAATATCAACCATTAATTATATGTTATTTATGAAAATGATTCTTAATCGAGCCAAGAAAAAAAACTTACTGATTAAATACAATTTTATAAATGAATATTATTTCATTGATATTTGAAGTTAATTTCTTTTTTTTTTTTTGCTTTTTTAATTATTAATAAAATAAAAAAATTAACTGGATGTCGTGATGGTCATAACTGCCTATCGTGAGAGATAAGTTGATACTTTACTACACTGCCAATTTAATAAACATTATACACTTTAACATTATGAGTATTTTCCGTTTTTCTTAAGTGGATTTATCAAAAAATTATTAAAAAATTTCGGTTGAAAAATCTTGGGATAATTTAAATAAAAAAAATATTTGAATTAGAAACCACACACTTATTTTGAAAATTAATTTTTGAAAAATATTAATCATTGATGTCTTTTATCTATGATTTTTATTTAAAAAAAATATCAAACCTTATTTTAACTATTTTTACCCATTGCTATTTTTAATTTTATTTCTGCCATAAAAATGACAGTGATAACATAACTCGTAATAAAAATGAAAGCTTAATAATGTGTTTTCTGTTTATTTACACATTAAATAAATTATATTTAATCAAGTAATGATTCTAAACTTGATCTTCGCCTTTATAAAATTAATTTTTTCGTCTACTCCAAGTAAAAGTGTCACAAGAATATCCCGTCACATGCATGTATACATACAATGTATGTATAAGCATTCCAGGATATTTTTGTGTAGTCAATGACCGACAGTCTGGTCGTCTCATCTCAGTTTTACGATCCGAACAGAATACGTACACATTCTCTTCATCTTATTCCTTGTACCAATCCCTATTAAATGGTCTTTCGTATATCTTACAACTAAAGATCCAAGCGTTTGTGCATTCCTCTTTGCAACATTTCTTTATATCTATACATATAATATGTGGCTACATTCTTCCCTTCCATTAAGGTCATTTAATTTACACAATAAACTTATTAATTTGTTTTAAAATCAATCGTTGTTAAATTAAACTAAGAAATGTATAATTAGATTCTCCTTTACTGCTTTTAAAATACGTTTTATGGATATTTCATTGGAGTAAAAAATTATTAAGTAAACATATCCTTAATAAAATTAAATATAATCAATTCTTTAAATACTTTTAATTCATTCATTCTATAAATAAATTTAAGCCAATTGAAATCATCATTTTTTTTTTTATTTTTTTGAATCAAATTTTTTTTTAAACAATTACTATTTTTAATGTCATTTATAAATTAGAGCATAATAATAATTAAATGTCTAGACAGTCAAATATTTATAAGTTAATTTTATAAATGATTTTAATAGATATTAAATTATTTCTCGAGTAGTAGTAATTTTTTCTTGTTGAAAAGATAATAAATTATTTTAAAGTCAATAAAATCAAGTGTAGGAAGAGTCGGTAAACATATTTTGCAAGAATTATTAATCACATAACTGACATAATATGACATTATTATGAATGAACATCAAGGGCATATTTCTGAGATAATGCTTTATAGTAATTGTATTTTTCATAGTTACTCCATTATTTATGTTACCGTTATTTTTTAACATATTTTTTTCTTACCAATATCGACAGTTATTAATAACAATAAATCATTCAATACATTTACACTCATAGTAATTAAAAATGCTAATATTGTATTATACTGTTATCATTATAATCGTAAAGTTATTTAAAAAAAATTTAATCAAGTTTTTACAACAATATTGTTGATCAGATTTGAATGAAAATAATAACTGGCTAAGAAACAAAAGTACATATTTGCAAAAATACTATTCAAGGAAATCTCGAGTGATGATTGTAGTAACAGCTGATTTATGACACAACGAAAATATTTTTTTTCTGTTGAATGTTATGTATCAATGAAAATCTGTTTGTACAAGATTGCAAGCGTATTTGTCACTATTGTATCTGTAAGAGTGCAAAAACATGTAAAATAGTAAAGTATGTATGCATATGTGTATGTGTGTATGAAGCATCTATACATATATATTAATTGCTCACTCAAAAAGATAAAAGTACATCACAACTTTGTGAATCAATACATGATGCAATTGAAGTTCATTGAATATAAAATTTAAAAACAATTAATCATAATTTGATGATCATTAAGTAAATAGTTAATTAGAACATTACACTAGATTTCTAAAAAAAAATTTGATATTTAATTAAAACTTTGAAGTATTCTACAAAGTATGAAATTTGATTAGAATGTTTATTTATATCAATAAATAGTAGTTTCTATAAAAGGTTGATAAGATAATCTTCTTGAAAAATACATTTGATGCTCATTCTATTATGAAAATATGCAGTAAAACTTGTTTCACTATAAGGTGACTTGGCTGATGAAGAAGGGTATAAAGAATTCAATGAAATTTTGATATGATATTAATAAACATTAATAAACTATCTTATCATTTGGATTGATATTAAAATTTTAGTGATTGGTCATATGACTTTTAGATAAATTTTCATTAAATATATCATTTAAAAAAAGAAGCATTTTTTAATAATAATAAAAAAAATTATTCAAAGGGTTTTTTTTATACATAGACCATAAAATATATATATATAAAATTAAAATGTCAATTTAATAATTATTAATTTAATATAGAAAATTTTATCAAATTTCTTTTATCAGTAAAACTATCTATCAATCACAGTATATTTTTATCGAATGTAAAAAAATAATTTAAAATCAAATTCTCTTTAGATAATTGGATACAATTTATATGATTCATTGGTTACAAACATGCAATTATAAATACAACTACTATATTCTTAAAGTAAACATCAACGTTTTATACTACTATTTGTAAATAGACAATCTTTGCTAACGAAGATTATTTATTTTCTGTTGTCGTTAATTATAGATGAATGAAAATAATAGATTAATGATTTAGAAAAAAAATGAAAAGAAAAATATTTTTTTATTATTAAATGTGTGGAAATTAGTTGAAGTAAATAGAATATTTTTGCCTAATTTTTGGGTTGAAGCCTATAAAATATACTCAGCAAACTTCGTCTGTTGAAGATAAACTTCCCACTTCATGGCGTATACCCTTTATATAAAGCAAACCGGTTTTACTTTTTTTTCCACTTCTTCTTTTCATAAAAAGAAATTGGAATTTAGTTCTCAGTTATTATAAAAGCAACTAACGATAAATGGTGATTAAAAATTGTCTAATAAATTATTTCTAAAACGACTAATGGTGAACAATTGGTGAAGAATAATTGATTCTTATTGGAAATTTTTTAATTTAAACATTCAGAATATAACACCCCAGTTCACATGATGATATAGTAAATTTTGAATTTAAAATATGTAAATTATTATTTAAAAACAAAGGAAAAAACATGAGAATGTAATACATTTTTTTCATTTTATTAAATGAAATAATTGTATGTATTGTGGAAAATTTGAGAAAAATATGCAACATAATCTAAATTTGTCCATGTAATTTATGTCTATGAAAACAAACATCTGTTCTGACGGTTTCAGAGATGACGAACTTTCCGCTTCATTTAATATAATGAGGGTGAAATGACATATAGATGTCTCTGAGTTTGTCTGTAAAAATGCGAGAAAATCTAAATTCTGAAAATGAAGTGGCATTCTTACCTTAATGTTAAATACATTCTCTTTACCGGTTTTATCATGGCTTGGAATATTTTAAATACCACAAAAATAATTTACCAGAAAAAGGAAAACTACTTTCATGATAATATTGATAGAAAGATTTCATAATAGTCAAGAATATTAATAAAAATTGGATTTTAATTTTATAATTAAATGAAAACATATTATTTCTTTTAGTAATAATAATTATTACAAACTAATTGACAATTTTTCATGTATAAATATAAAATCATATTACATACATTCAAATGGATAAGTTGTTTAATAAAATATTTCAAATAATTCACAAAAAATATTCAGCAGAATACGCAAGTTCCATGAGAAGCATCATCTGCTGTTGCTACTTCAAAGATGGCTGGTTTCTCGCTTCACTTAATATAATAGGAATGAAACTATACCTACTTCTTATTCGTAAAAGAGAACAAATATTCTAGAGTTTAAGATAAAGTGACGTTTAACACTACAAAGAGATTGTTACCTTAACTTTCTTATGCCACGTACCTATTTGCTATTTCTCCATTGATATTCCCACTAGCATTATACATTAGAAGTCAAATAGAGTTTAAGTTTCAATCAGCATCATTTTTACTAAAAAAAAAAAAATATAACCATTTCAATTATTAATAAATAGTAATCCAATAACTACTTACCAATAACAATTTCAACTGTAAATTTTTTTCGGACTCTAGAGTACCTGAAAACGT